GTGCAGACGGATGGCTCAGGTTCAAGTGGAGCTTCCGAAGAGCGCCCCACTGGGCCGTAGTGATGTCCGGGGGCTTATCCCCGAAACCTTTCCCCTCTTCGTGTAGGTCTCGATGTACTGCGTCTGCGTCTCGGTCGTCTGGCTTGAACTCCTTCGGCGTGGCTCCATAGGCAAACACCGTCGCAGGATAGGACGTCTGCACTTTCGGCTCCTTCACGTAAATCGCCACGACCGTGTCCGAGGGATACCTCTCTGCCAGGTCGATCGTCTGGAAATCCAAGTCGTCCGCGTAGGCATCCGAGTAGTCGGCCAGCAAGCCCTCGCTGGAGTACATCGCGTAGATACGCCGTACAGCTCCTCGAGGCAGTGGTATCTCCTCGGTGCCCCTCAGCACGCGCACGTCGATCAACTCCTTTCTCAGCTTGTATGCCTTCGCAACTCCATTCACAGTTGGTCGGCTCGGAATCTTCTCCCCGTTGTTCCAGATCCGCAGCTCCTTCAAGGTCGTGCGCATCGCCAGCTCGTGCGTCCCGGCTTTGACCAAGGTCTTGCCGAGCTCCTCCGGCCACGCAGCCGATCGCGAGAGCATCGCGCTCCGGCCGACCGTCTCCGCATGTGCGTGACCTCCGTCACATCTGCGTTCCAGCCAGGAAGGAAAACACGACCCATATGGTACCAGCATGCGCGTCGCCTTCCGAATCGGTGTCCCGTTCTCGTCCACGAGCCCGTACATGCACTGGTGCAGCGTGACCGTGTCGTAGGATGGTGGCCTGTCGTCTTTCCAGCTCATCAGGTCCGTCATCGATTCTTGGTTCCACGCTCGGCTCGTCAACGGGTTCTCGCCGATACCGATTCGTCCTCTTTCAGCCTGTAGTCGAAGTACGTCCGCCGAGAAGCTGACCAGTGGCGTAAACTCCTCGACCATGTCATCGACCCAGTCGCCCATACCCTGCGCCCGCTGAAACTCCTGCATGTTCGTGAAGGGCGTACAAGGAAACGCGACTGAAACCATCCAAGGCTTGAAAATCTTTATCATGAACAGGAAATCGGAACAAACCTTGGGGTCATTGAAATTCACACCAACCGACAGATCTGAAGGAGTCGCATTCGCATGACCACCTCTCGAGGCCGCTCTGGTAAAGCGAGCCTCCTTCGCAAACAGCTCCCAGAGGAAGGTCTCCGAGTTGTCACGCAGCACGTCGAATATCACCTCGTACTCCTTCATGAGCTTGTCTATCCGCTTGACCGTGCTCTTCTTGAGAATGCCCTTGTTGCCGTTCTTCAAAGCCTCCGCGACCCACGCGTCGGCGTCGTCCTTCAGCTGGAAGTCCGGCTTGACCTCCTGCAGCGTCTCCGCGACCAGGAACACCTCCGGCTCGGGGTCGACCTGGTGGATGCGGAACTTCTCGAAGAGCGGCTCCGTCTCGTACGACTCCAGGTCGTAGTCGAAGATGTCGATACCCGCGTGGCCGCCTGGAAGCTTCACCAGCTCCTTGTCGTAGACCCCCAGCTCCTGGAAGTCCGCCCAGTGGCCGTCCTCGCGTACGTAGAGGTTCGTCTTCCAGTCGGCCAGGTTCTTCCTGCTCGTGAGGCCGACCATGTCACCAGGGATCTCGAAGTACTCCTGGATAGCGTGGACCCTCCCAATGCCGATGGGGATGATCCACTTCTGCTTGGCTTCACGCTTGGCACCGCCAAGCCCCTTGAACCTCTGCGTGGCGTCCACCCTGATGGGCTTCAGGCCGTACTTCGCGAGCTCGGTCTCGACGCGGTCAAGCCAGCCGCGCCCGGCGACCGCCACCGACGCGCCGCTGTCCACCAGGGTTGCCGGCACCGCCTCCTTCGAAACCAGCACCTCCAACTCGAGCCTCTCCGGCACGATCGGATCGCTATCCACGCTCACCGTCATGATGTCGTAGACGTCCTCGGCGGTCTGCACCACGGCGCTGTCGGCCAGCTCTCCCGCAGCGGTCAGCTGACCCACGAAGTTCACGCACGCCGGGACGGCGCAGACCAAGGTCGTCATCGCCCAGAAGCCGTAGCGTCGTGGACGTTGGACTCCTTTCGGTCCCTTGCCGCGGCCCTTGGACTTGCCCGTCTTGCCAGTAGAGCCGCCAGTCGGACAGTTCGCCGTGTCGTGGTCCATCCGGCCGCAGTTGGTGCACCTCTTGTCCTTTGACTTACCCTTGTCCTTTCCTTTGCCAGGGTTGCCTTTCGAGAAACTTCTTCCGGCCGCCTTGCCACCAGCAGCCGCGCTCTCGTCCACGACTCCGTCGATTCTTCCCTTGAAGAACCCACGAGCCGCCCGAAGCTTGTTCATCTTCAGGCGGCTCTCGCGCAGTGTGACGAGGGCCCTGCGGTAGTCGTCGTCCTCGTCGGCCAGGAACGTGTCCGCATCGTCCTCGATGAAGAACAGGTCGCTGCAGTCCCAGCCGTTGTCGTCACCCTCGTCCGTACACACGTGGATTCCACGCTCATCGTCCCATTCATACCAGTATCCGTCATCGTCCTGTACCCAGTATTCTCCTGGATCCTCTTCGTCGGGTGGCTCCTCTTCGGTGTTCATCGTCCATCTCCAGCCCGATCTGACTTGTCCCCGATGCTTCGCGCTGCCGCGTGGGAAGAGGTTCTTCAGCGTCATGCTGATCTTCTGGAAGTTGAACGTCTCCTCTGCCCGTGCAATCACCAGATTGCGCTCGTCCTTGTCGAGGCCGCTTCGCTTGAGAGTGTGGTACCCTAGCTCGTTGCTGCTTATCTTCGTGTCCGGGTCCACCTCCTCCAGGTTGCGCTTGGCAACCTCCATGGCCGTACAGAACGCCGCCATGGGTTCCTCACCTTTCCGCTCGAAGTGCGTCTGATCGAAGAAGGCGTCGAATGCCTTCGGCAGCTCCCGAAAACTGCTCTTGGCGAAGCGCTGTGCCTCCAGGTATGCCAGCAGCGCGCGGGCCCCCTCCTTCTTGGCATAGTCCTTGGGGTCCGTCTGCTCGATGAGCACGCTGATGCTGTTGTCCGCGCCGAGCAGGTTCCTATACAGCTTGGGGCCGAGCGCTTGTAGTTGATCCTCCGTCTCGCAGCTCAGCTCCGCCGCCTGCACGGCGCGCTTGTACCTCGTGAAATCCTTGAGGGTCTCGCCCTTCAGCACCGGGATTCTTGGATCCACTGCACTGTTGTGATGCTCCGTCATCTCTCTGGATGGCTAGTCCGTGTCCGTGTAGATTATCTTGATAATCGTTATAATGAAGATCGTGGGGCCAACCACAAGCTCCGCTGCCAACCTCGTTTCTGGTCGAAACTCTCCCGCTCGAGCGTGTCGACACCGTCGGCGGGAATCTCGAAAGAGAACTCGATCGAATAGCTCCAAGCCGCTATCGCTCCCTCGACCCGTCGCTTCTGCAGTGGGAGAAGGGAAGCGCCTTTCTCTCGAGCCCAAGCGCCGGCGCTTGATACACACATGTACACAAGCGTGCTAGATACATATCCTGGGTCTTTCCCCCAGAAATCACACTAATGATAATGCTAATGATGATGCTGATGATGTTGATAATGATGATCATGATGATCATGATGATGCTGATGACGATGCTGAGTATGGTCATGGTGGTTGTGTGGGGGAGGAGGAGGACGAGGAGGAGGAGGAGGAGGAGACAGTGGAAGATCAGCAAGGGCACATATCAGGGTTTGGCGTGCAAGTGCGTGCGGTATGGATCAGTAGTTGCCGTCCGCAATCGAAGCTGCAGGAGAGCTCGGGAGAGTTCCGCGAGCTAGGCTAACACACTCCCCTGGCCCACAACACCAGCCAGTGTGGGAAAGGGATGTGTGGATATGTCCTCATTGCTTGAGGCCTGCCCACAGATGAACCCCACACTCGAGAACTCTGCCCGGGAAGGTGCGGGCAGGGGACACTAGCTCCATGCAGCCCACATCGATTGGAGTGGGCTCTCAGGTTCCAGGGTAGAAAGCCAGACTAGGGACGGCCTTCCCTCTCAATTCCGTCGCTCTCTCTCTCTCTCGTCTTCGTCGTCATCCCTCCCTTCTTCCTCAACCCTTGCCCCCAGGCTTCCTCAGCAAAGTCTGATACGAACTTCACCGACGGTGGTAGCTACAAAGCGGCCACGGCGTGAAGCCAGAGGGGGGCGTGGCGGCCAGAAGAACTGTACGTTTCCAAGCTCGTGCGGAATTGATTGACCAATGTCGGAAGGTGCCAGGATGACTTAGCAGGCGGACGACACGGACGTGGCGAGGGCGGTCAACGAAGACAAGGGCGACCCTGAGATCCGACGTTGCGAACAGAACGCGGCATCCGGAAACTTACGGCGGCGGCGTTCGTTAAGGAGTGTGCCCGGAAGGCTTTCTTCCCTGGAGGATTCCTTATCCGAGGGGTGCGGCGGCGCTGCCCGTGGCAAACTCTCCATTGCCGCTCCACCGGCTCTCTGGGTTGTGAGTTTCCCGCGGGCTTCTGCCCAAGGCAGCGCGGCCTCGGGGAACTCTTCGGGCGCTGTGCAGGCGCTGTTTGGTCGGCGCTGTTCGAATGTATGCACGCACGGGCCTCCCGGGGCCCTCGAAGAGCAGAAAAAAACGTGCCCTCTCGCCGCTCGACCGGAGCCCCAGACCCAATTTTTCCTTGCCATTTTGCAGGCCCGATCGATCTGTGATGGCCCCACGGCGCCAACATCGGGCGAAAGCGCCCGGTGTGAAGCAGTTGCATCGCCCAGCTCTCAGCGGAGGGCGTGGTGTGCACGGCGCGGGCGACGCCCACGACGACGAGGAGGACGACCACAACGACCGACGACGACCGACGAGGAGGACGACCACGACGACCGACGGCGACGACGACGACCACGAGGAACACGACGACGACGACCACCACGACGACGACGACGACGACGACCACGACGACGGCGGCGGCGGCGACGACGACGGCGACGGCGAGACGCCTCCCTCATCCCAGGCACGGCCACCTGGGACGCCCCGCCCACGGTGGGCCGGCGAGCCCCGTCGCCATGGGGGCCAGCCAGGCCGCCTCCCCCCGCGGCCGCTGCTTCCATCGACTAGGCGTACGAGTGACCCTTCGCCGGAGTGACCTCTGGTGCGGGCACAGACGGGTCCCCAGGTGGCTGAAAACGGGGCAGGAGCAGCGGCTTGCGCGCCCGGGTTTGGCCCCCCCGCGGCCCCCCAAAACGCCGCGCACCAGAGGTCACTCTTGCCCAGGGTCGCTCTTGCGTGTAGCCGAGCTGCTTCCAGCTGGTCGAGAAGCACACATCGCAAGGGAAAGCGAGAACGGCACAAGCAGAAACCTCCGGGGCTCCGCGCGGATTCCTCGGATCTGCGCCGCGCCCCCCCGGCGGCGCCTCCGGCGCTGCTCCAGGCGCGCTCCGCGCGCCAGGGAAGGGGGCCCCGCGCCGATGCCAGAAGTCCGCGCGGACCTCCGACAGTCTGTATGTGTGTCTGCACACCGTTTGCACCTAGAGGCTCTTGCTCGTGATCTAAGGAACTGGACCGTGTGGCCAGCCAGGTGGCTATGCACTCGCCGTCGCCGCCCCGTCGCCGCCTCGTCGCCGCCCGACGTCTGGGCTGCGTGGCCACTCTGGCGGCGACGTGGCCGCCGTCACCGCCCCGTCGCCGCTCAGTCGCTGCCCCGTCGCGGCCTCGCCGCCGCCGCTGGATTGCACCACGTAGTTCGCACAAGCAAGAATACGCGCTTGCGGCGCGCTTCTTGGTCGATCACACCATAGCTTCCACCACACATATTGTACAACATATAATGCACCACGTAGATCTCACAACATGTATGCTAGACCGCGTCCGCAGCGACTGACAGACTAAAAGGGGGTCCCCTTCTTGAAGCTACCCCCATCCCCCTTCCCTTGCTAAAGCAGGGGGGGGTCGCTTCGGAAGCCAGCCCCCCTCCCCCCCGCTTTGGGGCTGGAAAGGGGGGGGGGGCTTCGAAGCTACCCCCCCCTCCCTTTTTTGTCGGAGCCGGAGGTCAGCCTGGGCTCCGCTTTGAAAGGGGGGGGCTTCGCAAACTATCCCCCCCCCCTCTCCCCCTTTGTTTCCGCCGGTTTGGGGGGGTCTTGAAGACCCCCCCCTTTCCTCTTTTGGGGGGGAGGGGCGGAAGGACGGGTGGGAGGGGAATTGCATTGCAATGGATTGGATTTGATTGGGTTGGAATCGTTTGGATGGCAATCGATTGGATTGCAATCGGTTGGGTTGCAATCGATTCGATGGCAATCGATTGGAACGCAGTGGAAAAACAGGAGTGAGAGGAGGGATGGAGGGGAGGGAGGGGATGGAAGGGAGGGAGGGGGCAGAGAGGAGGGAGGGGATGGAGGGGAGGGGGCTCAGCCACCCACATTCTCCTCCTTTCGAAAAAGAGGGGAGGAGGCAGAGGAATGGAGGGAGGTGGGGTCAGGGGGGGGGTCAGGGTTAGGCTTTAGGGTGTACGTTTATGGTTAGGGTTCGGGTTCGGGTTCGGATAGGGTTAGTGTTAGGGTTGGGGTTTTAAGGTTTAAGATTTAGGGTTTAGGCTTTGGTTAGGGTCTAGGGTTTCGGGTCAGGGTTTTAGTAAGGGTTGGGACGGGGTTACGTCTAGGTTAGGGTTCGAGTTTTGATTTCGAAATTAGGGTTTAGGGCCACTAGCCTCTATTCGAAGACCCCTGGGCGTATCACAACCGCCCGTGACCCATAACATACAGAACCCAACGCGTCGAGCACGTCAGTGCGATGCGTCATGCGCAGTACTTGCGCAGCGCCCCAACCCGAGGCAGCGGCGATGCGGCATGGGATCGAAGCGACCAGCTCCCCACAGCAGGTTGCCGACGCACCGGAGATGTGCTGCGCAGCTTCGCGCGTTGCTGGGGGGCTATGAGACACTCACTCCACCCCCAGCCTGTCTTGCGTCCGCATCCACTTGGGCTCCGGGCGGGCTGCTCGCGCAACCCTGGCAAAGCGCTGCTCCCTGGTTCACGCCGCCATGATTCGCAAGCGCCCGGCAGCTGTCGGGCTGTCAGGGCAGCCGACTCTGCTGGTGGCAAGGCGGAGTCGGCGGCCGAGCGAGGGCGGGGCGGGCACCGCGTCGGGTGACTCTCGGGCCCGCGGACAGGCGGACGGCGGGGGGCGGTTGGGGCCAGAGGTTAGGGTGTAGGGTTTAGGGTTAGGTGTTAGGGTAAATGTCTGAGGGTATAAGAGCTGTTTTTTGGGCGGGGAGGGATGTGGAGGGAGGGCATAGAGGTGGGGAGATGAGGGGGGCGACGGAGGGGAGGGGGTTGGAGAGAGGGGAGGGGCCGGAGGGAATGGAGGGAGCCGAGGGAGGGGATGGATGGGGAGGGAGGGGAGGGAGATGAAGGGGAAGGAGGAGAGGAAACGGACGCGGGGGAGGGCGGGGAGGGTGGCGAGGGGAGCGAAGGGAGGACGTCGCAAGGGGAGGAACATAATAACATCGTATTTATTGTGTCCCTACTGGCGTTGCCAAGGGACGAGCCTGGTAGAATTGTATACTTTCGATTTCCCGACCTTGCTCATGGCGCGAGTGTAGCATGCTAGTATGATTTCGCCCCCCCGGGCTTTGCCGCGGGACGAGTCGAATAGTGCATTTGCGTCGCAATCGATTGCGGTCCATTGGATTGCAAGCGATTCGATTGCCATCGATCGGATGGCAGTCGATTGGTCTACAATCGGTTGGATTGCAATCGATTCGATTACAGTCGATTGGATTGCAGGGGGTGACAGGACGGAAGGGTGGGAGGGGAGGAGAGGGAGGGGAGGGAGGGGAGGGAACGAAGGGGGGGGAGGGAAAGGGGGGGAGGGGGCGGAGGGGAGGGGGGGGGATTGCAGCGGAATGGATTGCAATCGATTGCGTTGTAATCGATTGGATTGCAAGCGATTGGATTGGAATCCGATCTCTCGATCGTTGATCCTTGATCGTCGATAATTTGCAATCGCTGCCGAAAGGGAAGCCAGGAACTCCGGGGGCCCGATGGGGAAAGAGGGGGGGGGCGGAAGGTTTCCACGCCGTCCGCCGGATGGGGAAAAGGGTGGGAAAGGGGGGGCAAATTCCGGGGCGGCGAAAGGGGGGGGGGGGGTAGCTCCCACCCCCCCCCTTTGGAAGAAGGGGGGAGTAGCTTCCAGCGCGGGAGGTCCAAGGATGAAGGGGTAGCTAAGCACCCCCGCCCCTTTGGGAAAAAAGGGGTAGGGGGGAAGCTTCTGGGCCGGCCAAACGGTGGGAAGGCGGGGTGTAGTTTCTAAGGTCCCTCCCAATTTTTTTGTAAAGGGGGGGAAGGGGCTTCCAGGAAAGGCGGATCAAGGGAGGGGGGGCCAGCTTAAGCCAAGCCCCCCCCCGCCCTTTGCTCGGTCGCTGCGGGCGGCGCGCTCTTTCACGTATATGACATAACCACATATGTATAGCACCATATAATGTCTCTTTTTCTAGAAAAGAATTGCGGTTTACCTTCCTCCTCCAGACGTAGCCGTTTATCTTTTCGTCTTGTTTGTTATTTGCGAGTCTGCATCATTGTCCATTCTAAATGTGAACTCGTACGCTCCCAGGCAGGCAGGTATCGCTCCCCCCTTTTGCCCCCTGCAAACGGTATTCTTCGCGCGCCTTCGTCCATCAGAAGTCAGCAGTTTCTCGAAATCCCTGGCAACAAATATTACGAAGTGCGCACGTGCGGGTCGTCGCGCGCGCACGCAGAGATCCATTAACAAACACGTAGGTGCCGTACGGTTCCTAAAACCGAGGGTCACGAAACCATGTACATACCTGTAACAACACACGGTTTTGCTACAAGGGTGTTCAAAAAAGCTTGCGGTCGCGGTTCTGCAAGTTATTGAGAAAACCATGTGCGTTTCAATTTGTTCATAGCATGCTTCCAAATTTGCCTCTCGCGCACACGTGTCGACATCGTTCGGGCGCCCTTGCGTGCGCGCTGTCGCAAGAATCCCTTGCACAAGAAAAAAGAGACGGAGCGCGCGCCCGTGGTCTCGCGCGCTCATGGCGGAATCTTTGGAACACCGTCGGCTTCGTAATAATTTCAAATCGAGTGCCCCGGAGACATATAAGACATTCACGGTTTTTGCAATATCAGTTTTCAATCCATTCCTGCGCTCGCGGTCTTGCAGATCCTGAAGAAAACCACAGTTTTGTTCACATGTTCATCACATTCTGCCGATGTGGCCGCTCGCGCCGCATGTCGGACTCATTTGGACGCCCTTGCGCACGTGCTTGGGGCGGGTGCACGATCCGCGTCGGCCACGCGGGCCACCCGCGTGCGTCGGCCGCGCGCGCATGTCGAACTCCTTCAAGAACCTTCATCGCCGACGCGAGGACACCGTCATCTTTCTCGGCGGGCGTGAACAACATCGGCGCCGTCATCGGCCTTTGTGTTGTCCCTGCCACTATCGCCACCATCATCGCTACTCTCAGGATCGTGCGTAACGTTGTCGGCGTCGCCATGGCCCGCGCCCGCCCAAGTCACCGATTCGCTCTGAAGTGCCCGTTGCGATGTGCCCATTGGTCAGCGCCACGGCGGCCGCGTCGGTCTCGCCAAATTAGCTGGCCGCTGTGCGCGCGAGCGTTCGCGGGCTAGCGCGGTTGTAGAGATGCACCATGCAACGCCAAGCATTCATCGCAATCGCCGCCGCATGGGTTTTGCAAACCACGTTGGGGAGAAGAACGCTGTGGGGCCATCCTGTTTCGAAGTTTGCGCATCGTCCTCTTCGTCACCATCGTCATTATCATTTGCGTCACGCGCATCACCAGTTATCCGCAGCAGCGTCGCCATGACCATCAGCAGTCTCACCCCTCGCACCCGGAGGGCCAATCGTATGTGCGATTGCAGCCATGAATTTGTTTCGCAGCCTTCCAATCGTTCCCCCAGCTCTTCAGCATTTTTTTGCATGGAAGCGCCTCACACTCAGAACCTCTTTTTGTAACAACGTTTACACATGAAACCTTTTGTGGCGGGTTTACACAAAATGTTTTAAGTGTGGGTGGGCCTGCAGTGGTGGCACCTTGAGCCCAAGAACTCTAAGGAGGACACCAGGAACACAGGAAGCACAACACAACGCTTGTGATTTCACATGTTGCAGCAGTTTTTGCAAACGCGTTCCTTGTGTGGCGGCCTTGCACAAGGAATTTAAGTGAGGGGGATCTGCAATGGCCTCCGCACTTCGAATCTTTTCATAACGGGATACACAGGAAAACGCTGGTGTCTTTACAGGGAAGATAGAAAACAACAGAAAGCTCGGAATACGTGTGATTGTCTGTACTTTTATGGCGCGCGCGTTTCACAATCAAAATAATGGCACAGCAGCCTTTACAGAACAATTTGGTTCGTTGTGTGGCGACCTTACATACGGATTTCAAGTGTGGGGGTCTCCAGTGGCCTCCACACTTAGAACCCTTTTTTGCAACAGCCTTTGCAAATGAATTCTTTCGTGGCGGCCGTACAAGAATGCTTTGACTGTGGGGTGATCTGCAATGGCGGCACCGTGAGCACAGAAAAGCTAACAAGGAAAGCAGGACAACAAAAACGACAACCATGGAGAAGCTTGCGTTGTTCACATAGATCAATGAGAAGAAAGAAAGGCCAGACATACCTGTGACCGTCGGTATTTTTATGGTGAAGACGTTCCACACCTAAAATCATTGTGTAGCACCCTTCCCAAAAGGATTCCTTGTGTGGCGACCTCACACAAGGATTTCAAGCGCAGGGGACCTGCAACGGCCTCCACACGTATAATCCCTTCCTGGCAGCATCCTTTTGTGGCGGCTTTCTAAAACTGGTCTTCATTGTGGGAGGATCTGCATTGGCTGCGCCTTGAGCCCAGGACCGCTACATAGGAAAACAGTGACAACAAGAGAAACAGGGAAAAGCCTGTGACTTCACATGGGGAAATATGAATAAGCTAGGGGTACCAGTGATTGTCGGTACGGTGCAGACGCTCCACACTTATAGTCTTTGTTGCAACAGTCTTTACATAACAATTCCTTGTGTGGCGGCCTTACATAACGGGTTTTCATTGTGAGGGGATCTGCAGTGGCGGCACCTTGGGCCCAGGAGCGCTACAGAGGAAAACAATAAACACAAGCGCAACATGAAACAACATGAGTTTTCATGTGAAAAACATCGGGAAACTAAGGCGACCCGTGACGGTCGATATTTTTACGGTGCAGGCGTTCCACATTTAAAATCTGTTTGTTGCAGCATTCACAAAACAAAGAGTTCTTGTGCGGCGACCGTACACAAGGATTGAAAGTGTGGGGGGCCTGCAGGGTCTTCCACACTTGGAATCCTTTTGTAACAGCCTTTGCAACTAGGATTGCTTTTAAGGTTTTTCATTGTAGGGGGGATCTGCACTGGCGGCAACTTGAACCCAGGAAAGCAAGAGAGGAAAACAGGAAACTACAGCAACAAATGAAGCATATGTGTTTTCAGATGGACACATTACATGCTAGGACCACCTGTGACGGTCGGCACTTCTATGGTGCAGGCGTTCCACCATGAAAATCCTTGCGTAGCAGCCTTTACAAACGGAGTCCTTGCGTGGCGACCATACACAAAGATTTTAAGTGTGGGGACCTGCAGTGGCCTCCCCACTCAGAACCTTTTTGTAACAGCCTTTACACACGAATTCCTTTTGTGGCGGTTTTGCAAAAGGGTTTTCATTGTGGGGGGATCGGCAGTGTCCGCACCTTGGGCCCCGGAGCGTTAGGGAGGAAACCAAGAAAAGCATATCAAGATCGACAATGCGTCTTCCCCGCCGATGGCGCGTAAGCTGCCCGCGTGAGTCCGGGCGTAAGCACCCTCGTTCTCCTCGCAGAGAGCCGCGCTGGCGGCCTGCACCGGCCACCGCGCAAGGTCGCTACGCCATCTCGCGTAAGACCCCCTTCCTTTTCGTCGCTCATCTGGCGTTGCGTGCGGGACCCAGAATACGTTCAAAACGGAGGTGCGCGTTTTTTTCTGCCCCAGGGGGGCCCTCGCCGGGCCCCGGGGCCGTAACAGAAACGACCCAAGGATGAGCAACCGCCCTGGGCCTCTTCTCTCCTGCCTCTCACCTGGCTCCCACCAGCCTGCCAGCCTGCCTCCCAAGTCGCCATCCCTGGGAGGCTGCGAACTGTGAAACTGTCGCCAAATTCAGGGGCTGCTGGAGGGTCAAACGGCGTGACTCGATACGCAGATTCGGACTAGACATCGCCAACCTTGGTGGTCTGCGAAGTGTAAAAAAGTCGACACCTTCGGGGGCTGCTGGAGGGAGCAAGTAGAGTGACGCGCTACGCAGATTCAGATCAGACCTCGCCGTCCCTGGGGGGCTGCGGTCTGCCAATCTGTCGCCACGTTTGGGGGGGGTGCTGGAGGGCTCAGCTGACAGACGCGCTACGCAGATTCAGCTTAGACCTCGCCATCCTTTTGGGGGCTGCGAACTGCAAACGGCTGCTGGGGGTCCAGCATAGCGATGTCCTATACGGAATCAGATTACAGTGCCGTTTTTAATACATGCTCCGCGTGCGGATCACTTTTTAAAAAATGCATGGATTTAGTATTGAAGACAACGATGAGTTCATGCATAAATGTACTCATGAAGTAGTCATGCATGAACCATCCTATATCTTTCAAGATCCCATGTCGTATTGAACACTGCCCTGTAGCGTTGCTGTCCTTCTGCCGCGGGCCGCCCGAAGACGTGGCGGCGCGCCCGCGGGCGCTGAGCTCCCGCACTCCGGGGGGGCCAGCAACAGAGGGAGAGCCGCTCGGGCGAGCTCGGCCTCGCCCGCTGCCCGCACCGGCTGTGAGCAGCGGGCCGAGCGCAGGGGCGACACGGCGCGGGCCGCGCTGCTCGTCCACCGAGCCACTGGAAAATGATCGCCACCCTCCGTCCCCATCTTGCCTCTCTCGTTGTCGTTTGCCTCCTCCTGCCGCCGTCTGTCACCGCTGCCGTCGCATTCGCTGTGCGGCCCCCCGTTCCGTCCTTGTCCTGCCCCGTTGGTCCCATCCCCATTTCCCCTTCGAGCCTGGGGAATCAGTCCTCGTCCTTTTGATGCTGCCCTGTGAGTCGTGCCGTGCGCACCCTTCCCACATAGCTTGCGCGACCAATGACAGACCCGGTGTTGCCATCAGCCATACCATTCTAAACCAATTCTTCTTGTCACTTTGTGCAGATGGGTTTGGTACGCCGCAGGACAATATTAGTCGCGGCGTTTTTCCTCGAGCTACCGTCGTCGCCGCCGCCGCCGTCATCGTCGTCGCCGCTGTCCCCGCCGCCCCCGCTGCAGCCGCCGCCGTCGCCGTCGCCGCCGCCCCACATACCCGACGATGTGTTTCTCAGCCTCGGCGTGTTTCCTCGAAATCGCCCTTCGGGGGCCCGTCAATAGGCCCCGGGACCATCATTCCGGGACGAGCAAAGAATTACTTCTGGGGGAGAGGGGATGGGATCTCTGTGGCCGCGCACTGGAAAACACACATCGTCGGATGTCTGAGACCGTCGCCGCCGCCGCCATCGTCGTTGCCGCGCCGCGCCGCGCGCGCGAACCCGGCGCCTCTCTCTGCGCGCGCATGACTGGGAGGCTCGCGGCTCCTTTTTCTCCCGAGTTGCGAGGTAGCAGCTGGAGTCCGAGGAGGCGGAGGAAGAGGAAGAAGAGGATGAGGAGGAGGATAATGCTCTGCGTCCAAGACGAGGACGATGACCCAGAAGGAGACGATGACGAGGGCGGAGAAGAGCAAGACGAGGGGGGATGACCACAAGGGCGAGGGAGTGGAGGAGGAGGAGAAGGAGGAGAAGGAGGAGGAGGCCAGAGGATGAGGTGGAGGAGGAGGAGGAGAATGAGAAAGAGGAGGCCAGAGGAGGGGGAGGGGGAGGAGGAGGAGGAGGAGGAGGAGGAGGAGGAGGAGGAGGAGGAGGAGGAGGAGGAGGAGGAGGAGTACGACGACGACGAAACCAGTGAGGAGTCGTGAATCTTCACGCATCAGAGCGAGCCTGGTAGGTTTCGCTGAGAACTATGACGATTTACTTGACACGATCGCTTGCCAGGAAGGGCGTAGGCCATCCAGCGCTTCACCAACAGTTCGTTTTGGCGCGCCGCTACAATTTTGAGCTCAGGGCGTCTCTGTTCGGCAGCCAGATGTCCGACCGAAAGCACGAACCATTGCGGGACGCGTGATCACTTGGGGACACTTCGTGAGGACGGGTAGCAGTGATCAGGAGTGCGGAGTTCTATACATAGCAAGATTAGTTGTTACGTTTTTCCTCTGATTTTGGAGCCGTAGACGAGGGGAATGGGGAGAATGAGCAGGAGGAGGAGGAGGAGCAGGATGCGGACGAATACGGCGAGGGGAAAGGCTGACGAAAATCAATGTGGATAACGAGAAGGATGAAGAGACTTGATTCCAGGAGGAGGAGCATCAGCAGATAGAGGACGGTGGAGGGAAAGGGAGATGAGGAGGATGAGGAGGAGGAGGAGGAGGAGGAGGAGGAGGAGGGGGAGGAGGAGGAGGAGGAGGAGGGGGAGGAGGGGGAGGAGGAGGAGCAGGAGAGGAGTGAGGAGTATGAGCGGCAGGACGCTGGGGGCGTGGAGGGGCACGAGGAGGTGAGGGTGGTAGGGTTGGGGCGCGCGGCGGGGACCTCCTGACCCCCCTGGCCCACCCACGGCGAGACCAGGCGATGGGCTCGGCCTCGCAGATGGAGGAGAGGTACTTCCTGCAGAAGGCTCGCGGCCTTTCGTCGATGCCGCTTTTTTTGACTTGGACGAGCCACGGCGAAAGCCCCGTCGGAAATACAGTGGGGGGCCCATTTCAAGAAACACTCTGTTTGCCTCCAGGGTGCCCTGGATTTCTCGGGTGTCGATGGTTTTGCTATGAGAAGCGTGACGTTCCCACACCAAACATCGATGCACGTCCTGGCGTCTCAGGGTTGGGTTTCTCGTGGGAGGTATCCTGTGGCCGGGCTCCTACTGTACTTGGCCCCCCGCTCCAGTTGGAAATAGATATGCTACCCATGACGAGATCGCTCCCCACCATGATGAACCCAACACAGGTCCCGTCAGTGCATATTCGCACCTTGACTGTCGACCCATGGCGTGCCGCATCCATTGCAGATTGCGCCCCCTCCCCCTCTTCCAACGGTGCAGGGCAAGGATGGGGATACTAGTGTTAGTCAATTGTGGAATTCCCGCCACCCCTTCCCCGCCCTGAGCTGTTGTCTTGTGTTCATTGCGCCATCAATCAGGTGATTGCCCAACAAGGTCCGTTGTTGCCAGGGAAACGTACCGTTCACTCTGCTTCGGCAGGACGTGAAGTACGGCGAGCCTTTCAGCGAGCTGTTTTTTTACTCAACAACCGCTGAATCTTAGCGTGGGCGAAGTGGCAAACGGGGTACATACAAAAACAACAGGCGGGTCGGACACCTTTGCTGTTGCGACGCGCTGCCCCTCAACCCCCCTGTGAGTGTCGGGATTGCGAAGGCCTTACGGTCGGTGCCGCCGACCCTGAAGACGACGACGTCGACGACGAGGATGAGGAGATGGAGGAAGAGGAGGAGGAGGAGGAGGAGGAGGAGGAGGAGGAGGAGGAGGAAGAGGAAGAGGAGGAGGAGGAGGAGGAGGAGGAGGAGGAGGAGGAGGGCAGCAGGAGGAGGTACGATTAGGAGAAGAGCAGGAGGAGGACGAGCAGGAGGAGCCGCATGAGAAGGAGGAGGACGCCGGGGAGAAGGAGGAGGTGAAGAAAGATGAGGCGGAGGAGGAGGAGGAGGAGGAGGAGGAGGAGGAGGAGGAGGAGGGTGACGAGGACGTGGAGGAGCATGACGAGGGGGAGGCAGAGGCTGAGGGGGTGGGGGGGCTGAGCAGTTGGGAGGAGTGCAGAGGGAGTTGGAGGAGGAGCAAGATGAGGAGGGTGGGTTTGATGGCGTGGTGTGGAAGAGGAGCAGGAGGGGGATGAGAGGGAGGAGAAGCAGGAGGAGCAACCTTCGACGCTCCGTGGGCTGCCTTGAGCTCACGAAAGCCCAGAACGACGAGGCTGCAAGCACGTAAGGAGGCATGATCTTGGCTTCTTCGGGCCCTGCTGGGGGTCCTCTTGGAGCCCTTGTGGGCCGTTTTGGGGGCCTTCTATATGAAGGCACTCCTAGTGATGCATGACGGTGCAGCGTCGCGATCATCTCTCGATTTTCCATGTGTTTTTCTGCAGAATTGCCTTCTCATCCCTTTCCCGTCCTGCCAACCACTAGGACCGTCCGTCTTTGTTCACGGTGATCAGGGCCGTGATTACGACGAAGACGACGACGAAGACCATGACCACGACCACGACCACGACCACGATTACGACGAAGACGACGACGAAGACCACGACCACGACCACGAATTTGAGAAAGTATATGCTTGTTGCGGCGGTGGCGGTGGCGGTGGCGGTGCGCGGCGGCGACGACGGCGACGACGACGACGACGGCGACGACGACGACGACGAGCACCACCACCACCACCACCACCACCACAACCACCACCACCACCACCACCACCACCACCACCACCACCACCACCACCACCACAAAAACGACGACGACGGCGAAGACGACGATGACGACGACGTTTGGAGCGTTCTGGTGACCCCTGTGGGTAGATGCGGGGCCTCTTGGGAGACTCTTGGAAGCCTCTCGGGGGCCTCGTGGAGTCTTCTAGAATCTGGGAGCGCCTTTGTGCGCGTCTGGGGCCGTCTTGCGGCGTGAGGAAGCTGGAAAGGCGAGACTCAGGAAGCCTTGAAGGAGTCGGAAAAGTAGATGATTGTGGCGGCGGCGACGACGACGACGACGACGACGTGGACATGGGACAGAGTCCAGAGGGATGCGTCTGGGGGTTTCTTCGAAGCGCGCTCGGAGGCCTCTGTGGGGTAGGTTTGGGGCGACGACGAAATCTACGACGACGACGTTGACGACGACGACGACGACAACGACTATGCGGACGTGGTTCAGAGCGCTCAGGGATGCTTCAGCGGATTTTTTCGGGGCGCTATCAGCGGCCTCGGGGGGGTAGGCTGGAGGCCTCTTGGGACGCTCTCATGGCCTGTTCGGAGGCTCCTGGGAGCCTTTCTTTGGGGGTTTCCCGGATGCCTTTGGGAGGTATTTTTGGGGCATGTCGGGGTCGTCTTGGGCCGTCCTGGAGGCCTTGGACGCCAAAGGTTCGTCGGGTATTCTGTCTGGGCAGTCTCGTGGGACCATCTTGGGGGCATCTGGGGCCGTCTTGAAGGCCTCTTGGGTGGTCTTGGGGCTCTCTGGGATCGTGGGGGGGGTCTTTTGGAAACCTATTGGGCCATCTCGTGGCGATATGGAACCCATCTGGGGCGAGTTGGCGCGTGGGGAAGCCGAGACGGCGAGAAAGCCAAAAGAGCTCAAAACCCTAAGGACATATCAATTTTGGCCTCTCCAGGCTCTCTTGAGAGCACTCTGAGCGGTCTCTTGGGGCGTCTTGGAAACGTCCTGGACCGTGTGGAGGCTGCTTGGGCGGCTTGGACCGATTGTCTTCTGATTCGGGGCCCTCTTGAACCGAATTGGGAGGCCTTCAGGGCGCTCTGGCCGCGTCTTCGGGCTTTCGTAGGCCCAGTGACCACCTGGGGGGGATGCGTATCTGGGTGGCGACCACCCACCGGGATCCACCCTTCGGGACCCCACCCCCCGGCGGGGAAGGGATCAAAGGGCAGGGGCTTCCCTTTGCTCAGCTACGATGTTGCTCAAGTTCGCTTTGGCCGGCGCGCATTGGGGCGGAAGGCCCAGAGAAATGAGACGGGGGACGACGGAGACGACGATTGAGGGAGACAAGGAGGAGCCGCCGAAGACGGAGACGAGGACGAAGACGACGAGGAGAAAACCCCTCACACACGCCGACGGGGCCGGCGGATTTGCGAACGATGTTCCTCTGCGTGCGCAGCGCAGGAGCACTGCTGCAAATATGCTTGCACATTTTCGTGATGCACAGCTCGCTACGTGCCGCGCCTGTCGGGGCGCGCTCGCGCGTGGGGCCCGCATCGAGGGCTGTCTGCCTGGTGCGCACTTTGCCCTCCCCACGTGGGCAGCCAGAGACGGGAAGTACGGCTTCAGGCCCCTCCCTGCTCTTGGTCCCTCGACAGTTGCCCCTTCCCCCCAGGACCTCCCCCCCCACGCAACTGCGCGCCCGGCCCCCCTGCCCGACCCCCCCCCCCACGCAACTGCGAGCCCCTATCCCCCTGCCCCTCCCTCCTCCTCCTCCTCCTCCTCCTCCTCCTCCTCCTCCTCCTCCTCCTCCTCCTCCTCCTCCTCCCCCCCGCCAGGTGAAGCTGGGCCAGGCCGCCTGGGGGGGGGGGGGGGGCAGCCGCCGGGTGGCCGCGGCGGCCGCGGACGGCGGCCGACCCTCCAGGGCCAGAGGCGGCCCCCCGCCGGACAGGCTGGGGTCGTCAGCTGCTCCTCTGGCGCGAGACAACGCGCGCCGTCCGTGCGTACCGCGGCCGCCAGGCCCCAGTGATCTCTCGGGGGCGGCAAAGAGGGGGTGTGATGACTAGGGTCGGGGGAGCGTAAGACCCGGGTTTGCCGGGACTCGGGTTCGCCATCGTTTTTTGACGACCGCGACTCGGATTTTGACGAGGAGGAGTTTCGTGGGATGTCTGCAGCGGGAGGCCTCGTCAAAATGCAGGCTCGGCCTCGTCATTTTTTTGACGACCTCGTCGGGGATTTCCGAGTCCCCCGTACCCGGGTCTTACGTCTCCCCGATAGGGGGGGGTGGATGTCAGGGCGGGGGCCATGATATCTCCCCTGATTTCATGGCGCCTCTTCTTCTTTCATTGCGTCCCCAGGTCGCCCAGAGGGCCGCGCACATGCCGCCGGCCATTAATTTGCGCTCCCCCCTCTTCGACGCCCCCCTCGTGGCCGCCCCCGATGATCCTTGTTATCCCGCTTCTCCCGCCAGCGTGCGTGCTGCATAGCCGCCAGGCCGTAGCACTCCCGAGCAGCCCGAGATCTCTTCTTCGCCACCGGCGCGTGTGCCGCGGCCTCGAGGCCCCAGTAGTGCCGAGTGGCCTCGAGTGTCCCGCCGCGCGGATCTCCGAACATCGGCGCAATAGAAGCATTCCGCGACCAATCAGAGATGACAGGCGTGGCGACGTCACGACGTCCTTGCTGACAGACGTTTAGGACGGATAGCAAGGACAATGACCCATACAGTATAACACCCATGAACCGAATATGCCCAAGATGCACCTATCAAGCACCAGGAACACAGCAACATACAGCATTCACATGCGTAACGAGCATACGTCAGGAACATACGGTAAGAGCAGACATTGAAAACAGAAACTATAAGCGTTGCTTCTAAATGCGAATCGTCAGACTGACAGGAGTTCCCATTTTACTCCACTGGACTGCATTAGCCTCCGCTGGGCTCCACCAGACTCCTGTAGGCTCCACTGTTGTCCACATGGCCCAACTGAACTCCATTGGACTCCAATGGACTTCACCAGTCTAATCTTGACTCCACTGGACTCGGTTCTGGTCAATTCGATTCGATGGGGGGTATTGCATTGTCCTCCGCAGGGGGTATCGGTTGTCCCCTGTTCTACTCGATTGGACCCCATAGCACTCCATGCGAGATATTGTTTTGTTTCCGCATGCGGTATCGGTTTGTCCCCCGCAGGTGATATTGTATTGTCCCCCGCAGGTGTCCAGAGCAGTTATCAAGACCGTACACCAAGTACAGACATCAGTAGCACACCAAGGACTGACACCAACTCCCCATCCAGAGTATCTATCAAGCACGGAGTCGAATATCACAAAGGCGCACCAAGAATATGAATCCAGCGCGTACACCGATACGTGCCATAACAAGCAGCAGTAACACATACCAATACATTCAATCAAGGCTGGGGCAAGCACACACGCACTTTTGAGGCACGCGTACCAGATTGCACGATCAGGCTTCCATGACATACACCAGGAACATACATCAGAGCAGACAAAACGAGGTTTTAGAACCGAGCAGTTGCGCGGTCACGGACACCCGCGAGCCTTCAGACAACCGACCCATGATCACATTGGACGCCCTGCGCACATGGCCATCTCTTATCCCAGTCCTCCGGTCCCTCGCCTACGACCCCAGTTCCGCGGATCCATGGGCACTTGTGGGCATCCCAAAGTACGAAGGCCCACCCCCCACGACGGAAATGATCATGCGACGAGTGGCCTTGGCCCATACCCTGACGTCAGTCTGCCAACACCCAGGGCGCAGACTCCAGGAATCAACAGAGCCCAAGGACTTCTTGGACCGACTCGACGCCGCAAGCAAGCACTGCATTAACGATCTCCCCCACATCCTCCGGGAGGGAGAAGCGCAAATGGACGACCACCCGGAGCCCGCGCTGGCTTGAAGCCGGCACCTCCTATTCAAGTACTTGCACGACCGGGCGACCACCGCGGCGAGACCCACAACCCTCCTCCTCCACACGTCCAATCTACAGGAAATCGACTTTACACATTTTCCTCTGGCACTCCCGCCGCTCACTGGTCGGCAGCAGTACGAGGCTCTCACCAAGAGCGCTGCGACCATCCGCGGGGCCCTGCACGAGATGACAGGCAAGGACCTCTACATGTGGGCACCGATGGATTCGGAGACCATGGCACGACTTGCCCGTGCTTTCAAAACCTTTGCGGCCACAGCTGCCGCCACGACCACTCTGCACCTTCTGGTCTCGCACGACGTCTACCCAGTCTGCAGCACGCACACGGAAATCCAGGACCTATGGGGACATAGCTTGATGGAGACGGAATGGAAACCGATCTTATCCTGCGTGGAATACTTACGCCAGCCAGTCAGGTGTGTCTTTCCGGGACAGACTGGTCCGCTTCACCACGTGAAAGCGATCGCGGTTTTTCGTCTGTCGACTTGTGGCACCACCTCGCCTCCGGTCACACTCAATTGGCGGCCGACCCTGCTGGAGGAAAGCGCGGGCCCGGCAGTCATCGTGGATTTCTACGGCGCGGAGGAACTCGGCGTCCACGGCGCGCTCAAGAAGCTGTCTCTTCCTGGCTTGATTCGCTGGGACGGCCCACGGCGCAGCCTCGGCAGCAAGGGCCCGGCATAAAGGCTGTACTTCGTGGGATTCTTCGAGGAGACCCGCGTCACGGACTTGGACCTGCACCTCTACGTAGACCACCTCAAGAACCAGGACGAGTTGCACAGGACGCTCATCGGACGACGCGCGCTGTTTACCGACCGCACGGCCATGGTGGTAGATATGGGTTCACCGACAGCGATTGAGGCCATGCGGGACTGGACGAACGAGGTGGTGCTCGTCTCGTCACGCCGGGCATTGATCAGGACGGCGTGGTCCGCGGGGCACTGGATCCATGAACTCTCTGACCAGGGTACAGTCACACCACTCGACGCTATCACGCGGGTGCGGCATCGCCCATCGATCTTGGGCGGTCGTACGTGGGCGAAGCCGCAGGCCCTCCCAACAACACGGCGACGGGCAGTGGCACGAGCATCTCCCGCGCCCGCCACGCAGTCAGAGGCACGCCGCATCTCCCTGACCACTGCCATCGTTATTTCCGACGCGCCTTCGGGCCACCCGGACTCCCTGCCAGGCAGCCTCATGACGCGGATCTCTGCGCTCACCGGCACGCCCTGGCAGATGCAGCAAGAGGGGGGACCTCTCCTCCCACACCGCTGGCGCAGCGAGAACGCGCACCGCCTCACGGTCCAGTGCAGCACCGTCGACGACCTCAACGTACTCTACCACCACGCTCACAACACTTGCATGGAGATCGACGGCATGCCGTGCTTGGTCGAGATCGAGAACCTTTTTCACGACGCTCCCCAGGCACCCCCAATCCCACCCTACACAGCCGCTCCGTCCCCGGCGCCCCCCCTCGAGGCGGCCAGGGACGATGCGCTCGGGACTTGACGTGGCCGCTGCTGCGTATCTGTATTCGTGCGATTCTCCCATCGCATGTGCATGACCCCTCCCACCCTCCACCTCCACCTCCACCTCCACCTACCGCCTTCCAACTCCCAGCACCCGCAATTCCACCTCCACCTCCTCTTCTCGACTTCCAGCGTCCCACTGCTCAGCGATGCGACCTCCAGCGTCCAACGTCTGACCTTCCATCTCCACCTCCACCTATCGACTTCCAGCGGCCAGCAGCTCGACACTCCGACCGCCACACTCCAGCACCAGACTCTCGAACCCCACCTCCACCTGTCGACTTCCAGCGTCCCACAGCTCACCACTCCGACTCCAGACTTCCTGCATCCAGCTTTCCACCTCCACCTCCACCTCCACCTACCGACTTCGAGCGTCCCACTGCTCAGCGATGCCACCTCCAGCCTCCGGCGTCTGACTTCCCACTTCCGCCTCCATCTATCGACTTCCAGCGGCCAGCAGCGCGACGCTCCGACCGCCACGCTTCGCCCACGACTCTCCAACCCCACCTCAACCTGGCGACTACCAGCGCCCAACCGCTCACCACTCCGACTCCAGGCTTCCTGCACCCGGCTTTTCACCTCCACCTCCACCTGTCGACCTCCAGCCTCCCACAGCTCAGCGATGCGACCTCCAGCCTCCAGCATCCGACCTTGCACCCCCACCTCCGACTATCGACCTCCAGCGGCCTTCCCGTCCTACTCACAACGACTCTACTATTCCCCATCCCCCGCACTACACCCCTCCTTCCCTAACGCCGTCGCCCGAGCCTCCCCCGCCCCCTGGCCCTCCCCGTGGACTCCCTACTCGGCCCGGCACGGCCTCCAGCAGCATCGGATCCCACACGCCGACCACTACCCCAATGGCGACATCCCAAGACACGCCCCCGGACCACCAGGATAGGACGACCCGGCACCGAAACTACAGTGCCCCAGAGAACCCGACGACTCTTCAAAATCTTGCAAAACGACCTCGACTCCAACAAGCCCCGCACGACCACGCGACCGATGCCCCCCAGCCGATCGACCCGACAACAGAGAGCCCGAGACACCACACACCGATCACTGACCAGCCGGCCGACCGACCCAGCACAGACCCAGAACGCCACAGCAGGACACGACGTCAACGCCAGACCATCATTGCCGACACGACTCCGACACGCTCCACGAAACGACCGCGAACCGACGCCGCCCCTCTCGATCTCCCCCCTACGCCACCCCCTCCAGCACTTCCACCAGCCGCCTTCCCTTACGCAGGGGCCTACCGAGGCGCCTATTGGAACGCTCAGGCCCTCTTCGCAGCCGCCCCTCGTGCCCAACAGGACAAGCAACATCACGCATGGAATCTGCTACAGAAACATGATTTCGTCGGCC